GCGTGATCCCCCAATTATCAACGGGAGCCAGCACTTTGCTTTAAATCTAAACAGCCATCTGGATGGCATGTTTTTAAAGATTTAATTTACTTATTATATATACAGTGTTCTGTATGTATGTATGCCCGCCTGCCAGAGCCAGATCTCATTATAGATGACTGTGAGACACCATGTGATTGCTAGGAATTGAACTCAGGACGTCTGGAAGACCAGTCGGTGCTATTAACTGCTAAGCCATCTCTCCAGTCCTAGAACACTTTTATGAATCAACTATTTGGTTTCTTTAACCCATTCTCTTAGGGCTTCTGTCCTTTACGTATTGATTTGTAAGAATTCTTTGCATATTGTAGATAACGTAGATAATACAGACCTTCTGTCTGTCTCATAGGCTTCAGATACTTTTGGTTTTGTTGTGAGACAGGGTCTTACTAGCCATGGGATAGACCACCATGCCCAGCTCTTTTTTAGTTGCTATTAAAAGCCACTCGGTGGGTTTCTCAATCCTTGCCCTGGCAGCTACTGCTCCATCAAGGGCAGAGCACTTAAGCTGTGATTCCCAGTGTCCTGACACCACTCCATCATCCCACGCCCATCTCTCTTCAAGGCTATCCTCCTACCTGCCACCTCCTGTGCCTGTACGGGTGGCCCCCTTTCCAAGCCTGCTGTGGACTGTTTCTACTACCTCAGCTTACTTAACACCTACCACACAGGAAGACATCAGTACCTGAGCACAGAGGGCACAAAGACCCCCCCCCAACAACCACTCACCAGGCTACTCCCTGGGACCCCAGTACCCAGCCTCTTTACCCACCCATGGACTGGAAGCCTCCAGACTTCTTCTTTTTCTTGTTCTGGGCTCGCACCAACTCCCGGGTGTCGGGCTCCACATCTGATACGCACTCTGAGGTAGGAAAGGAGGGCAAGGCTCTGCCGGGGCCCAGCTGTGAGGGAGGGATGGAGAGGTGGTATCACTGTAGCTATGACGGACCTGACCACAAGGGTGTGAGCCCCAACTCTCCCACAAGCACTCCTTGGACCAAGCTGGGGCAGAGGTACAAATCAGTTCTACAAAAAGACTATGGGGCTTGCCAGCTGGGCTCCACCCCTTACCAGCAGTGCAGCCACCTCCCAGAACCTGAGGGCTCCCTTCTAGAAACTGAGGTCAAGGGGCACGGGGTGTGTAAAGACCCAGTGGGAAGTACAGGCTTGGTCAGGAGAGATGGGTGTTGAAGGCAGAGGATGTGTGTGCGTGCGTGCGTGCGTGCGTGAATATGCATGCCTGTAGTAGCCCGGGTATACCTGAGGAGTGGCCACAGCACCTGGCTGTCCTGGAACTCACTCTGTAGACCAGGCTGACCTCAAACCCACTGAGACCCACCTGTCTCTGCCTCCCGAGTACTGGTATCAAAAGCACACACCACTATGCTTGGATCTTATTTCCAATTTCTGATGAATTTTTAAAAAATAACAATTTATCTCTTCTCCCCCACCAAATGTTTCTCTTGTCCTGGTAGTGTTGAGGACAGAGTCCTCCGTCACTGAACTACACCCCCAGCCCTTTTCTTACTCTTTATTTTTGAGACAAGGTCTCACTAAGTTGCCCAAGCTAACCTTGAACTCCTCATGTAGCCCAGGCTGGCCTTGAATTTGCAATCCTCCTGCCTCAGTCTCCTAAGCAGCTGGGATCACAAGACTGTACCATCAGGCTTGGCCTATTTCTATTCCTTTCTCATTTTCATCTTGAGTCTTATTTCTTTTTTCCTTTTTTCTCTTCTTTTCTTTTCTTTTTTTTTTTTTTTGTCTGTCTCAAAAAAGAACTCCAGGCCAGGCGGTGGTGGTGCACACCTTTAATCTCAGCACTTGGGAGGCAGAGGCAGGTGGATCTCAGTGAGTTCAAGGCCACCCTAGTCTTCACAGTCAGTTCCAGGACATCCAGGACTGTTACACAGAGAAACCCTGTCTTGAAAAACCAAAAAGAAAGAAAAAGAACTCGTAGCTATAAATATGAGATGAACCCAGATTCTGTGACTAAATAGCAGGGATCTGGTGAGTCAAACACTGGTATTTACAACACCACATTTGGTGGCTACTACACTGGACGACACAGACGTAGACCATTTACTGCCCAGCTATGTCCAGGTTTTTAAATGTATTGTTTTGCCTGCACAGATTATGTGCACCATGTACGTGCAGTACCCAAGAAGACCAGCAGAGGGTGTTGAACCCCAATTTGCTGAAACCAATGAACCCACTCCTTCCTTCAGCCCCTACATGTTACCTGATGCTAGGGATCAAATTTGTGTTGTTGGGCTTACCAGGCAAGCATCTCAACCTCCTAGATCACCTCTCTGGCCTCTCAACCTGTTTTCTGGCTTACACATAACACACTTTATGGGTCTTTGTATAACTCTTCTGTTCTGTTCTGTTTTTGGCCTCACAGGATCTCCTGCACCCAGGCTGGTCTTCCGAACCTCCAATCCTGCCTCCACCTTCTAAGTGCTGGGATGTGTGGTGAAGCAGCCAATTCCTTCATTGACTTCTTTCGGTGAAATTCATCAAGTAACTTTTAAATTCTAAAACCTCTGGGGGGGTCATTGTATAACTTATTACAAGCCTGAGAAAGATTGTGGGGGCAGACTTGCCATCCCAGCACTCGGGAGGCCGGGGGATCAGGAGATCAAAACCACCCTTTGCCCCACAGTCGATCCTAGGCTACGCAGGGCTGCACAAGACCCTGTCTGACACTTTAACATGATGGGCAGTGGTGGTGCACGCCTTTGATCCCAGCACTCAAGAGGCAGAGGCAGGCTGATCTCTGTGAGTTCAAGACCAGCCTGGTCTACACAGTTTGAGACCCTGTCTCAAAACATAACAAATGAATAAATAAATACAAAAACTTAACATGAGGCAAATTCATTTTCCTGACAATAGTTAAGCCTTGCTCATTGGAATTTTTGTTACTAGTTTGAGCATTCTGCTTGGGGATCCCCACCTCCTTCATTTGAAGACAACTGTTTCAAGATTACATGAAAAAGACCCCGGGGATACAGGTAACTGACTGAGCATATACAAGGCTGACACTTCCAGGACTCTGGGTTTGGTCTCCAACCCTGCCAAAACAAGACGGGGTGGGGCCGGGAGGGGAGGATGAAAGAGACTTTCCCACTGATTCTAAGTTGACGGACTCTGGTTCCCATGCAGTATCCTGGTTTCATTTAAACGCACAAGGATACTGGTTTTGTTTGTTTGTTTGCTTGGGAGGGGTTGGGGGGGAGCAGCTCAATGACACAGTGTAAACTTGGCTGCTCTCCCAGACAGACCTTTAATAAGTATGTTTGTGTCCCAGGATGGAGGACCTTTTACGTTTTTCTTGTAAAGCAAAACATTCAGGATTGGTAGTAGAGCTCTTACCAGCTCACTATATAGCCAAGGGTGGCCTTGAACTCCTGACCCTCTTGCCTCCACCAATCCTACCCCAGGTGCTAGGATGACAGGTATGGGCCGCAATACCTGCTTTTCTGTGGTGATAGGTAGGGCTCGAACCCCACGTGTGTTTCGGGCTTGCTAGGCAAGCGCTTTACCAACTGAGCTACATCCGGAGCCCGCAGGCTGGGTTTGTATAGTTGAGCAACTTCTGTAAGTCAGTGTAAGGCTCGGCCTCAGCGAAGCCCATGGTCTGAACCACGTGCGCAGCCTTCTCTTCTTCGGCAATCACTCCCCGCGCTCTCGCTGCCTTGTCAGTCTGCACAACTAGTGACCACCGACCACCTACTGAGTTCCGCGCACGGGCTGAACTGGGGTGGAGGAATGGAGGAACATACCCGCTGTGCACAGGACAGCAGGCTTGCTTTCCTGCCCCTTTGGAGCTCAGGCCTGTCTCCCCACGGGCACCCACCCATTTGGAACCAGACCATCCCCAGTTTCAATCCTGCTGTCCGTCCCTGACAGTGCTGACTAGGCCTGCACGGCTGAGCCGCGGCAAATGTCTGCAAATACTACTTCAGTTTATAACCGGCTGCTTAGAGGACTGGTCCAGCCTCTCCTTTATTTTATCTCCTAAGACTGTCCGAAGCCCAGGCGGACCCTCGCACTTGCACTTTCCATTGGCCACATAGTAACTGAGCCCCGCCCCTTGCAGAAGGTACCCAATGAGGGCTCACAATAAGTGAAACGGACAAGCGGAAGGGCGCAGGCTGAGGGCCCGATCAGGGACTCCGCGTTCCTACCTTCCGCGCCCGAGCGTCATCCTCCGCTTGGATCTCGAACTCGCCGTCCTCTGAGTCGCTGTCGCGGGCCTGGGAAGCCCCAGTCCGGCGCTTACGCAGCCCCTTCTTCTTCCACGGCGCCATGGTGGCACGCGAGCGCGGGCCGGGACCCACGCGTCTGCCGGCAGCCATGCGAGCCGGGAACTCGGACCCGGAAGAGGGCGGGGCCTAAAGGACGCACAGCCTGAGGGAGGGCGAACCTTGGGGTGGGGGGAAGACGCACGAGCAGCGTCGTGATCAGGCTCCACCCCTAAGGCGCGGCCTGAGGAACCAACCAGCAGAGTGAAGGGCGGGGCCTGAGAGACCAACCCCCCCCCCGCGCGGGGACTGCGTCAACGTGGCTTCACCAATGGGGCGGGGTCTGAGGGGCATACCAGCCGGGTGGAGGCGGGGCTTGAGGAACATACCAACTAGTGGGGGTGAGGCGCGAGGAATGTACCACCTGAACAGGGATAGAGGCTTAAGGGACGTAATAACTGTGCAAATATCAAGCTCTGAAGGATGTAACAACTGTACTGGGAGCCGGATGTGAGGGACATACCAACTGAGCGTGTGGAAGGACTTGAGGAATGTACCAACTATGCAGGGCCGAACCCTGAGAGGCGGGGCTTAAGGGACGACTCAACGAAACAGGGGTGTGGCCTGAGGAACGTACCAAATGCGCAGGGGCGGGCCATGCGTCCTGTTGCCCAGCGCGGGATGCGCGTGGGTGTGTGTCGCTGTGGCACCGCTGTGCTTGCTGTGCTGTGCGGGGACTTGTGGCGGAGCTGGAGTTTGCTGGCCAGAGGCCCCGGTAGGAAAATCTCCGGGCACGGAGGAATTTCGGCGATGCCTGCGCTTTCAGATTTGTACACTTGACTGGTGCACTGTACTCCTCTGTTTCGAGCCTGAGTTCTGGTCGGGGAAAATGGATTTAATATGAGAGACCGAACGGGGCGATTGGCGAGAACTAGAACGCCCTACATTTGCAAAGTGCTTTGCACAAGGTAGGCGTGGGAGCGACAGTGACTTGGGAGTCCCTTTTCCCTCCCACCATAGTTGGGTTTTTCTGGTTGGTGCTATGCCACTGTACGCCCGTAGTCCTACTGTAAATATTTGTTGAGCATACACCATAGGCTAAACGTGTGTATCTATTTATTCATTAAATATTTGCTGACAGCATTTTTTCCCCTGTCTTGACAACTAAAAAGACAAGAGTGCCTCCTTAGCCTGCAGCTTGCACAGACCATGGGCTTCGAACCCGTGCATTTCAGACGCCAGACAATCGTGCAGTTCTTTCTACATGGGGAGTAGAGGCAGGAATCAGAGTAAAGGTCATTGGCTGTAGAATATAATGAGTTCCAGGCCAGCTTGAGCTACAAGAAACCCTGGGTAGGATGGGTCATGGAAGTGATTCATTTCCAAGATGCCTCCTGAATTGGTAGTCCCCTTTTGAGAAAGACCAGTCCCTTTCCCTCAGCAGGAAAAGGCCCTTGCCTTGAGACTCCGGGTTGCCACTGTTACTCACCTGATCCTGCTCTCAGCTCACTCACCCTTTCCACAGGGAGCCCTGGAGGCTGAGTCTGGCAGGCAGAGCACAGACACTGTCTCCCTTGACCACTGACGGCAGTGAAGATCCTGGTGGCACTGACCCGCGGTGGGATGCAGGCGCTCCACCTTCAGCACCGCAGTCCCAGAAGCTACAGGGTCAAGGCCAGGGCATCCTATGTGGACGAGACCCTGTTTGGCAGCCCTTCGGGAACCCGGCCCACCCCACCAGACTTTGACCCACCATGGGTGCAGAACAGTAACGGGACAAGAGGAGTGGGCCCAGAACCACCGAAGGTTTCTCTGGTCAAGAGAGATTGTGAGTCGACCCCCTCCAGGGGCAGCACCCCAAACCTCACACCAAGAAAGAAAAACAAATACAGGTAACAGGGTGGGGGTGTGCTGATGGACTAAGTAAGGGTGGCTGTCTTGGTCACTTTTCTGGTTGCTGTGATAAAATATTTAGGCCAGCAGGGGTTTATTCTGGCTTGTGGTTGCAGGCCCGATGTGGGGGCTAGAGACAGCAGGTCACATGACTCTTTTCCTTTCCTTTAGTTCCAGAGCATCCCCCCCCCTTCAGACACTCCAGGCACTCATGGTGCATACACTTCCATGCACACAGAGGAAGGTCCCTCGTAGGCACGCCCATGGGCCAACCTGACATAGTTAGCCGTCCCTCTCTGCACTCTCCTCCCAGGTGATCCCAGATCCTGCCAAGTTGACAGTTGAAACTGGCCTTCATTTTAGCCACTGAGCTCCCTGGTTCAGCTGCTATCCACCTGCTGTGTGGCGGTGGGCAAGCGCCTTGACTTCTCTGTGCCGCAGTATACTCAGAGAGTGGGGAATACCTTGGCATAGCTGCCGAATGCTTAGGAAGGGCTTGATCAGTGGTGGTGTTGGCTGGTGAGATGGCTCAATGGGTAGAGGCTCCTGTTTTGAGCCTGGTGACCTGTGATTGCCGGAACCTTCATAGAGGTGGAAGGACAGAATGACCTCCCTATGTGTGCCCTGTCTGAACACGCCTACATAGTCACATCACATACACATAGTAATGATAAATTTAAAATATTTTTAAAGGAAATTTCTTGGGGGGAAAAAAAAAAACTTCAGCCCTCCCAAATAAGAAAAATGCATCTCTGTTGAGCTCATAGAGACTTTTTTGAAAAGTCTGCTTGTATTTGGCTATTTTTGTATGGGAGGGGTGTATACTGGTAGAGGTCAAAGGACAACTTGTCCTTTCCTTTTACCATGTGGGTCCTGAGGATTGAAGCACCCATACCCACTGAACCATCTTGCTGGCCCAAGCTCTTATAGTTTTTTTTTTGTTGTTATTGTTGTTCCTAAACAAGTGTGACTACTGTGTGCATAGCACTTAATGAATTTCATTACTCCATTAATCTGGACCTGAGTAAATTCAGGAGGGTGTCTGTCATTTGATGCATAAGACTTCAGCATGTACAGATACTCACAAGGGTTACTGGAGTGCCCCCCCCCATATATCAAGGAATGGCTGTAGTTAGGATTCTTGATGGTGGAGTTCATGAGGTGCTTCAAGTGAGGGTCCTTCTTATGACTGCTCCCCTCTCCATCATGTCTGTCTCCAGGAGAAGAGGGAAACAAGCCCCAAGCTACTTTGGGCTGATACCTATGAGCCTGTTGAACAATTCAGGGCCCCCTGAGGGTGCCAGGCAGGCCCCCACTGCTCCCCCCTGCTGGTGAGGGAGTAAGGTTGTAGAGGGCTTTAATGTGTCACCCCAGGTCACTGCACCCTTCCCTTTTTCCTAGGTTGATTGGCCACACCCCGTCCTACTGTGATGAGTCACTGTTCGGCTCCCGGACACAGGACCCCAGCAAGGAGGGGTCTCGGACAGCCATGGGAGATGCTGCCAAGCTCAGGACCCTTTTCTGGACGCCACCACCCACTCCTAGAGACGGCCACTCACCTCGCTCCAGGGAGACCCCACTTCGAGCCATTCACCCAGATGGACCCTCCAGGACAGAACCCAGCATGACCTCGGGCTCCCAGAAAACATCCCAGGAGGGGTTGAATGCTCCCCACTCTCTGGGGCGGAGGCGTTCCCATTCACTCACCCACCTGAGTGTCCCTAGCATGGGTCATCCAGCTGCCAGTGTCCCCCAGACCAATGGACCTTGGAGTCCCCGGTCTTCCACATCAAGGATGACTGTCCAGAGTCCCCTGGTTACTCCCAAGGCACGGTCAGGCAGTGTTTCAGGGTCAGCTGCCCCTCAACGAGGAGCTGCCCCTCCCAAGCCAAAGCCTCCTTGGAAATGAGGCTCTCAGCAGGTAAGCCTTTGGCTCACAGCAAGGACTCAGCACAGGTGGGGCCCTCTGGGGACCAGTGTCTCCAGGGTCCCCAAGCACTGGAGAAGCCTCTGTGGGGCTCCATGGTGAGGATAGGCCATACTTTCCTTTGTCCCCACAAGCTCCGGATGTCCCTAACCCTCTCTGCAGGGTATTTGGGGTCCTTGAGACATCCTTCTGGCCATTTCTCAGCCTCTTTGTTCATGGGTGCCAAACCTCACCCAGCTTCCTGTTCAGGACTCAGTTTCTACAGGAGTCTGGGGGCCTTGAAGGACTTTCCCGGGCTGTGTGTGGACCCCAAGGGTGGAACATGGGGAGACAGTAATATTTGTGTATTTATTCCACGTATTAAATGTATTTAGCTCATCAAAGCCCAGTGGCGTGTTACATTTTAACCCCCCCCCCTTAAGTAAAGGCCTCGGTGGATTTAAATAGTAGAGTTAAACAGAACCACAGGTGATTTAAGTATGTGACAGAAATGACACTGGCTGCTGAGGTCTGAGGACCTCAAGTAATGCTTAGTCTACTCCGATCCTGTCTGCCCTGTGACTCCATTCATGGGTGGGTGGGTGGTTCTTGCCAGCTCAGGACATAAGAAGAGTCTTTTGATAGCAATTGTCTTGTTAGGGGGTGGGGATGTAGTTTACCCAGCATACATGAATGGGGCCCTGGGATCAATGCCCAGCAACCTCCGCCCCCAACAAAACAGAACAGGACTTAGTGATGAGCCAGGTGGAAAAGGCAGGCAGGGACAGGCGTATGCAGAGCCCTAGGCCTGGGCTGCTGGGTACTGCCCTGCCCTGCACTGCTGTGGGGCCCTGGGCCTCAGAGCTTCATTCAGGTCCTCCTTCCCTGGATGATGACAATGGGGTCTTGAGCCTCTCCTGGTCCCCCTCCCTTCCTGAGCATTTCATGGATCCCCATGGGCATCTCACTATTGTCTAGGTATAGCCAGGCCCAGGAACATGTGCAATCAATCACCTGCAGAGGTCAGACAGCTGTATCTGGGCACAGATATACTGCACCTTAGCAATGTGGGATGTTTAAGCTTCTAGAACTTTCACAAAGGATTGGTTAGTCTGCCTCCTGTTTTTCTGTCCCCTCCCTTCATGTCGATAGGCAGGGGCTAGTACCACGTTCTTCTCCGCCTATACTAAAAGTCAGCTGGAGCCCAGGGTGATCCCACCAGGTGGTTGATACCAGGCTCCGAGTGTGGTTAATACCAGGCTGTGGTGTCACAGAAATGGGGGGACAGGACGGGGGCAGCCTGATGGGAACGACAAAAGGTTGGGGGAGGGGGCACTAGAGAGTGCTTACTGCTCTTCTAGAAGACCTGGGCTTGGTTCTCAGCACCCACATCAGGTGGGTTATAATTCCAGTTCTGAGGGACCCAACACCCTCTGACCTCTGGAGGCATCAGGCATGCATGTGATGTATACACACACACACACACACACACACACACACACACACACACACCTCTTAAGGAAAGGAGAGGCAGCTGGATCTTTGAGTTTGAGGCCAGCCTGGTCTACAGAGCTAGTGAGCTAGTTCTAGGACAGCCAAGGCTACAAAAAAAAAAGTGGGGACAGAGGCCCTGAATTCAGATGTCCTCACCCTCCTCAAGTGGCTCACAAACATCTGTAACTCTAGTTCCAATGAATTTTGTACCTAGCTGTGGACTCCATGGGTACAGCCACATAAATAAAATAATCCTATTTTGTTGTTGTTTTGTTTTTTCACAGACAGGGTTTCCCCATGTAGCTCTGGCTGTCCTGGCACTCACTCTGTAGACCAGGCTGGCCTTGAACTCAGAGATCCTCTTACCTCAGCCTCCCGAGTGCTGGGATTAAGGCAAGGCATGCACCCCCATGACCCCCACCCCCTTGGCCATCCTTTGTATTTTAAAGTGGAGGAAGGAATCAGCCAGAAGAGGTGGCTCATGCCTGTAAATTCAGCATTTAGCAATCAGAGGCATGAGGATCACCATAAGTTCCAGGCCGGCCTGGGCTACAGAAGAATACTTTGTCTCAAAATAAACTTGCAGGGTGGCTACTGCTGCACCATGGAAGATGCAGCCACATATTGGGATGTCAGGGTGATGTGATCCTCACATAAAGGGCTTTAGGATTCTATGGTATAATTCTCAGTTTATGAAATCCTAACAACCAACGGTGGCCATGCCAAAGGTTCATAGCTAAAGGGTGGATGGAGCTGTGAGTGGATGGACAGTCCCAGGGCAGGCCAGGGCTGCCCAGTGATGATGTCTCCATGGCAACCACAGTAGCTCCTGGGCTGGAACAAGGGCCTCATTTCTCAATGAAGTTGTCCCTTCATTGGGGACTGGGAAGAAGGGGTCTCAGAGCTTGCACCCTCCTAAGGGTGCTGCACCCCATGAGCAACACAGTCTCATCCTGAGGTAGAGTCATCTGTTGAAGAGTGAGCCCTTGAGGGTTTCTGAGTGAGCTTATGAGGTTTTTTGTTTGTTTGTTTGTTTGTTTGTTTAATTTTAGCCATCGTTAAAGCTACGGGCGGAAGGGCTGGGGCGGGGTGGGGGCGCGGTTCAGATCCGGCAGGGCGTGGTTGAGGCTGGGCAGGGGCGGAGCCTGGCCGGGCAGCAGTTACTTCTTCTTGCCTTTGGCCTTGCCCTTGGCTTTCTTCTCTTTACCCTTCTCCTCCTTGCTCTTCTCCTTGCTCTTCTCCTTGCTTTTCTCCTTGCTCTTCTCCTTGCCCTTCCCCTTGTCTTTGCCCTTGTCTTTGCCCTTGCCCTTGCCTCGCTTCTTCTTCTTGGACCTGAGCATGGAGCGCACCAGGTAGCCCTTCCACACGGCCTGGATGAGCGTGGCGGCCCTCACCATGCGCACCATCTCGCGCTCAGCCTCCACCCGCTTCTTGGAGTTGATCTCACTCTCGGCACGGATCTGAGCGAACTCCTCCACCAGCACCGCGTGCCTCTCTTTTAGCTCCTCCAGCTGCAGCTTCTCCTCTTTGTGGATGCTCTCCAGGTCTTCGTATTCGTCCTAAGAGAGGGACAGGGCTGGGGGCACCTGGCATGGCCTCCCTCCTCTCCATGCGCCCCGGCTTCCGCCCCAACCCTGTCTGCACCTGGGCTCACTGCAGGAAGGACCCAACTGAACAGATCTCAGGGTGGAGGGAGGAACAAGGGCTGTGAGTTGGGCAGATCTAAGTGTGTGTGTTCTTGTGTAAGTGCACATGTGAATGCATGGGGTGCGTGCTTGAGTGCGTGCCTGTGTGTTTAGGCTAGGAGTCAACATCAGGCTTCCTCTTCAATCTTTCTTTCCACCTTACTTTTTGAGGCAGGATCTTTCACTGAACCTGGAGCTTGCTGGTGTCACTGGGCTGGCAAACTCCCAGCATCTGCTTGTCTCTGCCTCCCGGCACTGTGATTACAACTGCACACTGCAGCCTTCAGCTTCATACATGGGTGCTGGGGATGCAAACTCAGGTTCTCGCGTATGTATAGCAAGCATCCCAGTCGCTGACCCTAGCTTTGAAGTCTAGCTTCTCTGCACCTTAACGAGATTCCCTTTTAAGCTTCTGGTTTTCCGGACAATTCCAAATACCAGGGACAGTTTCTGGGATCAAGCGACCTTCTGGCTTCAGTGGCCCCTCACAGACACATGGTCTAGTCGCCCAGTAGGTGGCGCTGTTGAGTGGTGACTGAATCATGAAAACTCATTCAGAGTCGACATTTCTGCTGCCCTCTGTGACATTCCCACCTCAGGCTCAAGGCAGTGGGGTCATGTGACCATGGACTGAACTCTCCAGAACTCTGTTCTCACCGTGTTTCATCACCGTGACAAAGTTGGCTCCTGAGGATGCCGTGGCACTGTGTGTGTGTGTGGGGGGGGGGAACTGCCGCCCATGAGGCAGCTTCACAGAGGCCCAGAGCAGAAAGACCTGCCTTGGGTGACCCCAAGGTCCCCTCTCACTCCGTCGCCCCTCTCGCTGCAATTCACACCAGCCTCCCCCTCTTTCCTCTCTCTCTACCCAGTCTTTCCACTAGCATCTACCCAGACTCTACTGAGGGCGGAGCACTTCGGGGACAAGGACTGGGCGAACAGGGTCCCTGCCCAGCAAGGATCCTGTGGCCCTCAGTGGACTCTGTTTGTAGCAATTGTCTGTAGTACTGGACCCTGTGCACATTAGGCCGGTGTTGGACCATCCAGCTGCATCCCAGCCACATAAGCAGCCTCCACTGGGGCTCATGGAACAGGCTCCAGCCACACAGCTCCTGAACCTGGAGGGCACTGTGGTCAGGGCGAGAGGGGCCCCGGCTTGCCTTAAACTGTCTGGGGTGAACCCTCAGCTCTCCAGGCCTTCCCAGGCCAGGGCCACCCTTGTCACCAGCGAGTAGGTGTGGTCATACAGGCTCCCACTCCGGGTCAGGACTCTATCTAGACCTAGTTGGGGGCTCAGACACACTCAGTAATGGTGTCTCATTGACCCTTCCCCCAGGGTCCCAGGACAGACACTGCAGCCTGTGTCCCTCATGGTTAGATGCAAACTCAAGAAGGCCAACGGGTGTTGGGTGACACAGCTGATGAGCCACGCCAGTTTGGAAGGACTGTCTATGCTTCCCGCCTTATCCTGGAGCCTGGCACCTTTCAGACGCTCAGCGAATGCTGAGTGACAGTAATGGGGGTGGCCCACTGAACTGGAAGCAGGCAGGAAAGGGCCAGGCTGGAGGAGGGGACCATAGGACTGGATATTAGATGCAGCCACACCCCTCTGGATGGGTCTGGCCTTCATCAGTTTCCCGCCCTGCACCCCCCACCTCCCACAGACCTCCCACAGGGGCATGCCCCTTTAGGCAAAGGATCTCCAGAGAGGCTCATGCCTAGGCCATCTCGGGCAGCTCCTACCCCACTCGCAACCCCTCTAGTCCCCAGGAGGGACCCCCCCAGCATCCACATACCTGCTTCTCGCTCATCTCCATGTCATATTTCTGGATCCAGTTCTCAATTTCTGTCTCCACTTTATATTTTTTCTTAAACAAAAACAGAACCCAGGGACACTAAGCTGGCTCAGTGGGTAGGTACAGGAACTTAGGACTCAAGTTCAAGCCCCTGGTCCCACAAGGTGGCAGGACAAAGCTGTTCTCTGATCTCCACATAGGCGTACGTGCACGCGCGCGCGCGCGCGCGCACACACACACACACACACACACACACACACACACACACACACAGAGTTTGCTTTAAAGGGTCAGCTCCCAGCTAGGGGTGTGGCTAGAAACCTTTGCCTAGCACGAATGAGGCCCAAAGTTTAAAAATCAAATGTACTTGGAGATGGAGAGAGGGCTCAGAAGTTAAGAGTGCTGGTTTCTTTTCCAGAGGACCCAGGTTCAATCCCAGCTCACAACCCTCTGTAGCTCCAGTTGAAGGGAACCCAACCTTCTATTCTGGCCTCTGAGGGCACTGCACACATGTGATACACAGACATACAAACAGACATACATGTAGGCAATACACCAATATACATAAAATAAAAACGTAAAGAAAAATAAAGCACTGGGCATGGTACCAGGCAGTAGCACTCGGGAGGCAGAGGCAGGAGGATCTCTGTGAGTTCAAGGCCAGCCTGGTCTACAGACAGTCAGCGCCACACAGAGAAACCTTGTCTCAGAAAAAAAGAAAGAAATTTCCCCCATGCGTAAAACAGAACACATTCCGCCATAGAAAAGAATAAAGCTAGACACGGCCTCCTCCACGGGTGAACTCTGAGATGGTAGTGAGGGAAGTCTGGCTGCTGCCTGTTTGTGTCCCCCCACACCCCAGGCCTCCCAGGACACGCCACCTGTCTTGGGCTTCCCCACTCCTGGGCCAGCCCTGCCCTGCCCGCTCTGTTCTCCCCGAGACCTCAGGGCACCTTCCTCAGGGCCTGCTCTATCTCCCGATTCTCCATGACCAGGTTGTGGTACTGTGATCGAAGCGCTAGGATCTCTTGCTGTATCTTGGCCAGCCGAGCCTGGGAGGCCCGGTAATCCACCTTCTGCTGCTTCTCGGCCTCCTGCTTCGTGCGGAGGAGGCTGTTCTCCGAGAACTTGAACACCTGGTGCAGGTGGTTCTTCAGTTCTTGGATCACAAAGTTCTCCTTCTCCACCTAGGGCGGGAACAGTGAGGGTGGGGCCCTGTTAACAGCCACACACACCCACACACACCCACACACAACCCACACACACACCCACACACGCACATCCACACACACACACACACACCCCACACACACACAGACACACACACACACACACACAATCGCAGGGGCAGCTGGCCATTGGCTGTGCCCTCCCTTAGGGTTCAGAACCAGCCAGGCTTAATGCGCATCTCGGGCCTGGGACCACATGCTCCCCTCCACCTAGGAAAGGGGTCAGCAAACACAGGCTCAGAGGCCAGATCCAAACAAACAGCCACATCTGTCAATGAACTGGGACCCCGCCCTTTCATTCTGATACTGTTCTGGGCTGCTTCCACACTAACAGCAGAGTCGTGTGGAGGTCACTGGCCCACTGGGCCCAGCCTGTGTAGTGTGTGATCCTTTGGAGATGAGATATGGAGCCAAAAAGAAAGCAGGCTTCAGGAAGACAGTAGCCGCTGAGGACCCACGCCCTTCAGGATGGGACAGATCTGAGTTGTGACTGACCCTCCCTGGGACTCATTATAATACACTACGTAGTCAAGTCTGGGGCAGGGGGTTGGTTGGTACGCACATACAGGTATGCTTTAAGCTGCCTGCAGAACCTCTGGATGTTCAAGTATTCAAACCCTTCCAAGAGATGAAACACAACTCAGTGTTCACAGCTATAGAGTAGCCTGCTGTACCTCATTGGCCTGCAGCTTGTTGGCTTAGGCGAAGCTGACTTTCCACGGATCTCAGGGACCTCCTGTCCCTGCCTCCCCAATGCTGAGATTATAGAGGTACACCACCATACCAACTTAAAAAAAAGAAGAAATGGGCTCCAAGGCTCAAACTCAGGTTCCCCATCCCCAGCTTGTACAGAAAGCTTTTCATTCACTGAGCCATGCCCAGCCCTGTACTTTTCTTGAGACAGGGTCTCTCTGTGTAGCCCTTGCTGCCCTGGAACTCACTCTGTAGACCAGGCTGGCCTTGAACTCACAGAGACCCACCTGCCTCTGCCTCCAGGGTGCTGGGATTAAATGTGTGCGCCACCACTGGCCAGCCCTGTACTTTTTTCGTAATAGGCTTTCACTCTTCACTTTTGCTTCAATACTCTTGGGTTTCAGATTTCTTTCAAGATTGAATATAGTTTTTAAAAATCTGTGTGTGCGTGAGTATGCACACGTGTTTGTGTGTGTATATGTGCACATGAATGCAGATCCCTGTGGTGCCCAGAAGAGGGCGACATCCCTGGGAGCTGGAGCTACAGGTATTTGTGAGTGGCTGGACATAGGTGCTGGGACCTGAACTCTTCTGCTCTGCTAGAGCAGTATATACCAGGCGTGATGGCACAGGCCTTTAATCCCAGCACTCCGGAGGCACAGGCAGGGGGATCTCCATGAGTTCAAGGCCAGCCTGGTCTCTGGCATTCCAGACCAGCCAAGGCTGGATAGTGAGTCTCTGACTCAAAGGAACAGTACGCACTTTTAATCACCGAGCAGTCAGTACAAGCCCTCCCCCATTTGTCTGATATCTCTCCTATGTAAGAAGAACCCACTTTGCTGGAGACAAAGACAGTTTACCAACCCCTGGCTGGAAAGGCCTTTCTCACTTGTCTGGCTCAGTCCCCCCTTTTTTTTAATCCTTCTTGTCTTAGAGGCAATGTCCCTGGTCCTTCTGGCCCGAATTCAGTTCTCATCTGTTCATAGTGCCCTGTCCTTACCTTCATACTACCAAACAGCACTCAACTAATTCTTTAATGCCCTCCTGGGTGGGTCCTGTGAGCTCTTGAAGCTGGGTTTATTTAAAGACATACCTCCTAGTGAAATGCTCGGGATGATCTCTATGGAGTCAACGAAGAGGAAGCTATTTGAATCAATGAGAGAAAACCCAAGTCCCAAAAGAGACTTGGCTGCTCGGGCGGGGCGCAGTTTGTCCCAGAACCCGAGGGATGCTGGGAAGTATACCTCCGACTCCTTACTCTTCAGCACCTCCGCCAGCTCAGCCTGGAGGGCATCAATGACTTCCTGGTTCCTTTCATTCCTCCGGTTGATGTCCTGTATGAACTGGTTCTTCTCCCTTACTTCCATAGGGCTGGTGAGGAGCTTTTCAAAGAGGTAGCTCCGAAGCTCCATCAGGCCTTCGAGGAGGTGCTGCGCCCCTGGGCTTCTGCCTGGAGCCTGCACCTGCAGTAGCGTGGACACCTGGGAATCACTGAGCAGAAGCCTCAGGATGGTCTTGGTGGAATCTCGGAACTGGTGTGTCAGTGGCCACAGGCTGGCCTTGTATAGCTCTATGGACAGTAGGTGCTCCCGGAACCAGGCTTCATCCGCTTCCTCCTCTTTCTCCAGCTGTTTTTGCTTCTCCTGTAGGATGCTGGCACCCTCCAGCAGGACGTGGCCAATGTCCAAATGCTCTCTGATGGCCCTCACGAGGTCTTCGGGGAACATTCCCTCCAGAACCTCTTGGTGGGACTCGACATAGGACATCAGGGTCACCAGCCCCACTTTTTGTATGGCCTCATCCAGGACTGACATGATTCTCTTGGCCTCAATGGTGCTGAGCTTGGATTTGGATGGGGCCAAGGTCTTCATTGGCTCAACTGGGATTATGTCTGTCCTCAGTGGGATTCTGTGGATGGCCAGCCCATGGTAGGAAGGGGCCATGCTGTAGATGTCCAAGGCCATCTTTGGAGCAGCTGGCTTTGCCTCTGTATACCCTGGTACTGAGCCGTCAGACAACTCAAAGCTCTTCTGGCTTTTCAATCAGCAATCCTGCAAAGGAAGGGGTGGCTATTAGGTGCGATGGCCACGGCAACCACTCTATAGAACCTGGGAGCTACTTTTTAACTCTTTGGGGTTTTTGTTTTGATTTCAGTTTTTGTTTGGTTTTGAGAGAGGGTCTCTTATAGCCTAGTCTGTCCTCACCCCTGACACAGCTGCTGGGATTGTAGGTGTGTACCACCCTGCCAGGCTTGTCTTTTAGCATCGTGATGATGCTTGGGGCTTGAATGAGCCACTGGAGTTAGAGAACTGAGGGTGGAGAGGAGTCCCAGGCACATACACCAGGCAAGAGACACTCACCATCCTGAGGACCTTCATATGGCGGTTACCCAAGCGGCAGAAACATAGAGAGGCCAGCTTTAGGCAGCTGAGGTCACCCAGCAGTGTCAGCAGCAGGGAGCCACTCAGGGGGAAGATATGAGTGGGGTCTCAGGGGCGGCAGACCCTGGAGGAGTTGAAGCCGCGGCACTGTCCAAGCAAAGCAGAGAGTGGACGACGCGATGGCCCGCCCTCACTTGCATTGCCTCCCCATGTCGACCCCGAGCGCCTGGGACACGGTGTGCCGGGTCAGTGGCCCGGCACACAGGGGAGCTGCGACAAGCCACCACAGGTCATAGAGTAGAATGGGACATGGACAGTGCAGGATGGGCCAGAGTAGGAGAGGACATGGTCGCCCGTAGAACAGGTCACGGAATAGGACGTGAACGGGACAAGACACAGGCAGAGCTGAGCAGGTCACAGCCAACAATGCGGCAAAAACACGTGTCAGGAGTGTGTGTGTTTAGGTGTGTGCATGTGCGCATGCCCGTGTAGTGTGCATGTGCATGGAGTGCTGGTGTGTGTAGATAGGCATGCGTGCATGTATGTATGGATGAGTGTGTGGGGTGTGTGTGTATACGTGTGTGTGGTGTGTGCACCTGTGTGTATGTGTGCATACATATTACATGTCCACATGCAGGCCAGAGGTCACCATTGGGTGTCTTCATTTATCCATCCCTTCCTTGTATTTTGAGACAAATCAATTCATGTCCTGGACCAGTGGTTCTCAACATGTGGGTCGTGACCCCCATTGGGTTTGCATATCAGGTATCCTGAGTATTAGATATTTATATTACGATTCATAACAGTAGCAAAATTACAGTTATGAAGTAGCAGCTGAATAGTTTTATGGTTGGGGGTCACCACAGCATGAGGAACTGTACTAAAGGGTCACAGCGTCAGGAAGGTTGAGAACCGCTGTCTGGACTAGGTTCTGAAACAGAGAAGGACATCAGTGTAACAGCTGGGAAGCCACTAAGTCCAAGGTTTGCTTAGCAGATCTGTATCAATAGCATCTAACTTACATGTTTTTTTTGAGGCAGAGCCTCGTGTAGCCCAGGCTGGCTTGGAACTTGCTATGTGCGAGAGGGTGCCCTTAACCTCCGGCCTCCATCCCCAAGTGTGAGGACTGGGGCCACACCAGGTTTGACAACGTTACTTCCTTAGTTCTGACCTATGAAGTAACATTTTGGGGATCTGAATGAGGCCTGCAGAGAACGTGTATTATCTAGGCAGGTTTTCTACAAGTTCACAATTATTACAAAGTAAAAGGTTTGTCTGAGCAACTGTCTCAGAAAACTCAATGGTGACATCAGAAATCAATAATTTTGTTGGCAAGCAGGTGGTAGTGGCACACACCTTTAATCTCAGCAATCGGGAGGCAGAGACAGGAGTTTGAGACAGAGACTCTGTTTTACAGAGTAAGAGCTACATAGTGAGACCCTGTCTCAAAAAAACAAAACAAAACAAAACTTCCTGTGGCTTTGGTAACACAGTGGCCGTGGAGGGACCTGGCAGTGGCTCCACTGGGTCTGGTTACCCCTGGGGGTGGGGCCTGGCTCCCTTTGCCATAAGGAGGAATCCCTGGGTTCAATGGAAGTTTCGAGTACAGGACTTGGACATGGTGAGTCCCAGGGAAACTGAAGTGTGAGTCTGAACCACCACAGTGTCATGTATGAATGCCATCTCCATGTTCAGCCTGCCCCTTCTTCATGTTCCTTGCCCTGCTGGCTGGCTCTGATGTCCCCACACAGATCTGATTAATTATTCACCATCTTTCCCTTCTCCAAAGATGTTCCTGCCAACAGAAGCGGGGGCTCGGGGTTTGTTACACACTGTGACTAGGGAAGCCTGGAGGTCGTGTGTGGAGCGGAGGGCAGAGGACTCACTTTTGGACTCTGAGTTCCCAGCTGCTGTCACTGGAGGGGACAGTGGCATTGCTGTCTCTGTCTACTCAAGTCTGTGTCCTTGTCAGGTAAAGGCACCAGGTTTTCCTCAGGAAACAGCCTCCCCCATCATAGGCAGTAGCTCTGGTTTGCATACAACCCCACAGGTTCATGTGTTAAAGCTTTGGTCCCTAGCCCACGGCACCATGGCCATGCAGAGACCTTTCTTTAAGAGGTGGGGCCTGGAGGGGAGGTTGTTGGGGTTTTCTTTTTTGGGCGGTGGGTGAGTGTTAAGACGGAGTCTTACTATGTAGCCCTGGCTGGCCCGAAAGTCACTATGTAGACCAGGCTAGCCTTGAACTCACAAACATTCTCTTGCTTCTGCCTCTGGCCCCTCTGCTGGGATTAACCTAGGTGGTGCAAGGTTCTTCGGTGACTGGGGCTGTCTCTCTTTTTTTCTCTCTGTCTCTCTCCTCCCTCCCTTCTGTCTCTCCAACTGGAAGAGAGCAAGCTCATCTCTCAAGGCTCTGCCATGATGTGATACACTGTCTCGCCTCAGCCTCAGCAGCCACAGACCAGCCTTACAAGTCATTCACCTTGCTTTGCCATGGCGAGAACGCTGACTAACAGTAGACTTGGTGGGACTGTCCATCAGAGTCATCGTCCTGTCCACTGTGTCTGAGGGGCAGGGACTCTGGCTGAGGGGAAGCTTCAGGGGTGGGAACTGCCAAGCTCCCAGCTCCTTCCTAAAGACCCTACTAACCCAGGCTGAAGTGGGGGGTGGGGGGGAACTTTCTCGGCTCCTGTCTGAGTTCTGAGGCCTGGTTGGTCAGCATTGTTCTCTTTGCTATGCTTAGCCTCCATGCATTTCTGGTGTTTGTGATCAGAGAGGCTCAGCTGATCAGATATCCAGTCAAAGAGCCTTAGGTGACCAAACAGCCCAGGAACTGATGGTGGCACCAGATAAAGATGGAGGAGGAGAAAGCGCTAGGCAGAGCCACAGTGCACTGTCTTTAGGTCACCAAACCTCAGATGGTGAGTCAATTGGGTAAGTATCTAACATGTCTAAGGACAGAGAAGAGAGGTGCTAGCTCTGTTGTGAAGGATGGGAGGCTCCTTGGCTGGACAAAACACCCTCAGAGTGACAACCTCCTCCAAGGCTAAAGGAAGACCTCGCCCAAGGAGGTGCCATCTTGCTTCCCTGGGACTCATTCCCACTTCCTGCTCTCTCCCCCACAGAGTGAGTTCCCAGGGTGCCTTTTCCTGATTATAGTTTCCTGGACAGCTCTGGCGCCTCTCCCTGGACCCTCTCAGGATGAAGGACCCTGCCCAGAGGCCACAGGATGAATGAAGGAAGTGTTGGATGGACACACTGTTCCAAGTTGTCCTGGGAGTTCTGCAGGTGTCAGTCAAAACTCCCAGGATTCTTGGGAGACGAAGGCTGGAAACCCAGAGCCACAGGGAATGTTTCCAATTTGCTTTCAGCCAAATTGCCTCTTTGGCTTTAAAGGGCAAGCTTGTTTTCTTTGATTACCAAGACGCCCATCAGTTCTTGACAGCTCATTTGGGTGAACCCGGGAAGGGGAAGGTGTGGGGAGAGGGGTGAATGATGAAATTACCCGAGAAGAGAATCTTTTCCTTGAATTCTAATGAGTGTTCCGTGTCCTTTTTGATGCAACCAACGTTCATACTGAAATTGTCATCAACCCAGCCTCCCCCTCTTTAAGATTTCTGCCCTGAGAGTTAAGTGGGGGGTGGGGACTGCCGATGCACCAGGATTTAATTGTCATGAGTTCTATTGATTTATCTTTATCATGCAAATGTGCCTCCACTTCATTCAAACAGGCCTGTTGGAAATTTATTACTGTGCTCTGGTTTTGGAAAAAGAAAAAAGAGCCCCCCCCCACACACATATGGGAAAGAAGATGAAAGAAACCTGTGACTATTTCACAGATCCAATCCTGGCTGTGGGGAGGATGGGGTATGGAGAGGGCATCTTGGTTTAAGGACTTCTTTGTAATACTGGCCAATAGGTTAGAACTTACCTATGTGTTCTAAATGCGCCCGTGATCTCAGCACTATGGAGGCAGAGGCAGGAGGGTCAGAAGTTCACGACCATCCTTGGCTACACAGGGAGACACTGTCTCAGAAGAACCAAAACAAACAGAAAACCGAAAGTACTTCCTAGGGATGAGTCCCTGCGAGGTCATGCCATGTCCTGCATTTCACAAGCAAGGGAGCTGAGAGTGGTACAGGAGCCCAGTCAAACACGAGGACACAGGGAACTGCCACCCGTGCTTGGTGAGATAGGTCAGTGGGTAAAGACGCTTGCTACCAAAACTGAGGACCTGAGTTCGATCCCTGGAACCCGATCCCTGGAACCTATGCTGTAGGGAGAAAACCCACTTCCCAGAGCCGTCCTTGACTTCCACACATGTGCAGTGGCATGCCGGCACTCACACACACACACACACACCAACACCAATAATAATAATAGCACTGAGTTTACCAGCCATATGACGTCCTCACTTAGAGCCAGACAACAATGTCATCTGGTTTGTTTTTGGTTTGCTAGACAGGATCTCACTAAATTGTGGGGTCTGGCCTTGACCACATGATGCCCTCCCTACCTTAGCCTCCTGTGTAGTTGGGAACTACATCTTGTGGGCTATATGTGGTTCTGAAGACCCCTGGGATGGGCTTGGCAGCAGAGCTGGAAGTAGAGATGTCAGTAGCTAGGATCTCAGCTGTGATCAGAGGTTCCAGTGCTTCAGAGACAGGGCAGTGGCCAGTCACAACTGGGGATAGCTGTTCACGTTGCTGCTTGCAGTGGCCGATGTTCTGCAGCTTGGGACTGACCTTGGCATGGTCACCTAACCTTCTATAGGTTCCAAAGTGGGCTCACTGTGTGATAACTGAGTTCAATTGGCGCCCAGTTCCTGTGGCTCCCACCCAGCCATATGGGTTTGGATGAGCTGACCACCCTCTCTAAGCATTGGCTGCTCCCTCAACCCCCATAAAAAGGGGAGAGACAGGATGTACAGAACTCTTGTGTGAATGTGATACTGCCAAACCAGCTTTTATGACTTTTATTACTAACACTAAAAAGTGAGAGCAGCAGAGATGGCTCCGTGGTTAGGAGCGCCTGTTGCTCTGGCAGAGGACCGGGGTTTGGTTCTCAGCACCCACATGGAGGTACACAACCAGGAATAGTGTTCCAAGGGATACAGCGCCCTCTTCTGGCCTCTGATGGTACTGCAAACATCATGCACATATATGCATCCAGGCAAAACATTCACATACAGCTGGGCAGTGGTGGCTCATGCCTTTGATCCGAGTACTCGGGAGGCAGAGGCAGGTGGAGCTCTGTGAGTTTGAGGCCAGCCTGGTCTACAGAGTGAGTTCCAGGACAGGTTCCAAAGCTATACAGAGAAACCCTGTCTCAAAAATCCAAAACACCAAAACAAAACTAAATTAAAAGAAAGAATCCCTAAAGCATGACTATCACACATCACTCTACAGATTGAACAGAGCAGGCGCAGAGGCAGGAGGATCCTGGGGTGGTTAAGTTCCAGGTTCAAAGAAAACTCTGCCTTGCAGGAACAGCCAAGGAGTTATGGAAGGACACTTAATCCTCATCTGGGTTCCATGCCAGGCGTCTTGAATTCCTTTCTTGGTCTCAGTATGCTTTAGAAATGTGTATTTCTAATCACGCATGACTGTACAGTGCATTGTTTTGGGGTTTCAAAAAGGAAGGGCTGGGAGTGGTATATGTGTTTAACATGTATGATGTTCTGGGTTCTATCATAGCACTAATATACACATGCACACACATATACACATACACACAAGTACAGGCACATGCACACATATATGTATATGTACACACATACATACACACACATACATACATACACACACACATACATACACACACACACACACACACACACATACACACTAAATAAATGACATATAATTTAAAACACAGGCCAGAAGCTGGGGTATGGTGTGGCATGATGGCACACAACTTGAATCCCAGCACTCGCGGGAGGCAGAGGCAGGAGGATCTCTGTGAGTTGGAGGCCAGCCTGGTCTACAGAGTGAGTTGCAGGACAGCCAGAGTTGTTCTGCAGAGAAAGCACCGTACCTGAAAACACACACACACACACACACACACACACACACACACACACACACACACACACACACACTGTAGTCCAGAGAGATGGCTCAGTCTGTAAAATACTTGCTGCTCAAACCTGAAGCTCCCTAACACCCATGTAAAAATAAGGTGCGACACAAAGAATAAAACTCTACATCTTTAAAAAAAATATCAATTACCTACCAGAGTGTAAAATATCAATATAATTAATACATGTAAGAAGCACAGAATATGTGTTTGCCTGGAGTTTTGATGCTGGGGATTAAACTTAAGGTCAAAAAAAAAAAAAAAAAAAAAAAAAGAAAAGAAAAGAAAAGAAACCAAAAGCAACACAGAGCAAAACAAAGAAAAACTTAAGAGCTTACATGTCCAGCACAATCAGTGCTACCCAACTGCACTTTGGGCCTGCATTACTCCGTTAAAAAGAACTTTAGTTTTATGTTATGTTCATTGGGGCTCTCTCTGCATGTATGTCTGTGTGAGGGTGTTGGATCCCAGGGAACAGGAGTTACAGGCAGTCGTGAGCTGCCACATAGGTGCAGGAAATTGAACTCGGGTCCTCTGGAAGAGCAGTCAGTGCTCTTAACCACTGAGCCATCTCTCCAACCAAGCCTGCATTAGTCCTTTATAATTAAACCTGTGTTGAGTAATTTTAGAAGGAAAATGCATTTCTTTGTCAATTAAAAGAGAAAAGGTCACCTGCATTTGAAAACATTAGTGTTAAAATATTTTGTTAACTACAGGATCTAACCTGTTGCTATATGCATTTGAAAACATTAGTGTTAAAATATTTTGTTAACTACAGGATCTAACCTGTTGCTATAATAAAAGCTGAGGTTCAAAGATACCTTTCCCCTGATGCTCCATTCCAAATGTTCTTGATTCTGATTCTGATCACTTTTAATTCCAAGAACACTAACTAGGACCTCAAAGGAAAAGTGTATGTGTGTGTATGTGTGGTGGTATGTGTGTATATGTGGTGGTATGTGTGTGTGTGTTTGTGTGTGTGGTGGGGTGTGTGTGTGTGTGGTGGTATGTCTGTGTATGTGGTGGTATGTGTGTGTATGTGTGTGTGTTTGTATGTGGTATGTGTGTGTGGTGGTATGTGTGTATGTGTGTGTGTGTGGTGTGTGTGTGTGTGTGTGTGTTGGTATGCATGTAGGGGCTATGTGCATATGAGTGCAGGTGTCTATGGGGCCAGAAGAGGGGGCTGGATCACCTGCAGGTGGAGTTGCAGACAGCTGTGAGCCACTTGATGTGGCTGTGAGGAACCGAGAGGGTCCTCTGCAAAAGCAGTGTGTGCTCTTAATGAACAAGTCCAGCCGCCCCCCTCCCCCACTTTAAGAGACAGCAAGCACTTTGTGCAGCTCAGGTAGCCTCCAGCACTCATCCACAATAAGCACTCAATAAACACCTGTTAAATATGTGAGTATTTTCGGCGTGAGCCAGGAAAATGCTCTTGGAAATGTGTTTGACAGAAAGAGCTGAAGTAGAGTGAGTCACGTCGGGGAACCACCACAGTTCGCGGAGCAGTCACTGTGCGGCTGTGCCCGTGCCAACTCTCCCTTGCCCCACCTCATTCAGTCTTCCCAAGAAATTCTTCCTCTTCAGGACGCACAGGGAATCACATTTTAAACGCACGAGCTAAATGTTAAAGTTAATGTCAAAGACAAGGATATAATCAAAATCTTGTACACAGTCAAAATGACTGAGGTAGAGTGATGGTGTGGGGTCTAATAGCACTCACATACACACAGTGTCTCACAACCACCTGGAACCCCAGCTCCAGGATCCCCAATCCTCACTTCTGGCCTCCTTGGTCATAGCACACACACCGTGCACAAACATACATGTAGGCCTCACAGATACACATAAAGTTAAAATAAACACATCTTTGTTGCTTTTCGAGGAAGGGTTTCTCTGTAGCTTTGGCGCCTGTCCTGGAACTCACTCTGTAGACCAGGCTGGCCTCGAACTCACAGAGATCCGCCTGCCTCTGCCTCCCGAGTTCTGGGATTAAAGGCATGCACCACCACTGCCTGGCCCAAAATAAACAAATCAAATCTTTTAAGTTTTTAAAAAAAAGTGTGCAGGGCTCTTTCAGAGGACCTGAGTGTAGTTCCTGGCACTTATGTCAAGCAGCTCACAAATGCCTGCCAGTAACTTCAACTCCAGGCTCGAGTGGATCCAAAATCCCTTTCTGAATTTACATGCATGTACCCTACCAATACACATATAGTGATCAAAATAATAAAAATAAATCTTCAACAAACAACAATTTAAAAAAAAAAATTAATTAGGCCAGGAGTGCCTTTAACCCAGCCCTCAAAGGCAGAGGCAGGCGGATCTCTGTGAGTTCGAGGTCAGCCTGGTCTACAAAGTGAATTCCAAGGCAACAAGAACTACACATAGTGAGACCCTGTCTCAAAATCAAAAGAAACAACAAACCCCTAATTTAAGCATACACTGAAGGTAGGATCCTGCACCGGGCAAGCTCACCTGAAAACATAGGGTCCTTAGTAGGGACATCCAATGCCTAACAAAACGACCCACCTTCTTACTTGAACTAAGTTCACTGGGATGTCTACATAAATGGTACTACTGAGGGATGAGGGGCGGACGGGACAGGAGATGGGATTATCTAAAGAGGATGCTCAGTGGTCCTTGCAGGAGGCCTAGAGGAGGCTGGACCCAGGCAGAGTAGAGGCATGAGTCCCTGGAGCTAAATGGTCCGGGAGTGGGACGAGGACCCCTCGGGGGTCACTGGACAGAGAGTCCAAGTAGCGCACACCACACGCAGCCCTGGGGCTTCCCCGCTGTCACTCACCGGCTCCTTAAACTGCAAGTTTCTCTGCCCACAGTTAACCACCTCGGCGGTCCCTGTGTTGCTAGGTTACGCGCCAATCTTAGAAGGCGGGACTCTGTGCTTGACTGACCTCCTTTTCACCATTCAACTTCTACTCAGGCTGCCTTGGCTCCGCCTTCTGAACGACGACCAATCAAAACCACCGTATCCCTGACGTTTCGCCAATGGAAAGACACGGGATTCTCGTTGGTTGCTCGACCAAAGCGGGGAGAAAGGGGTGGAGCTTCTTCGCTCCGCCCTCCCTTCAGGAGGAGGGATGTGAGAACGGTGAGTGACGTGCAGATTACCCTGTCAAATTTCATTGCGGCCTCTCTGGTGGCCAATGGGTCGTGGCGTGCGGCCGTGGGGCGGGGCCTGCGGAGCTGAGTGACGGGAGTCGGCGGATGCAAGGGCTGGCGCAGCTGCCGCTGTGGCAGCGGTGAGGCGGCGGTGGCGGCTGCAGTGTCTCCGCTGTCGGGATATTGGCAGCGGCAGCTGCGGACCGAGCTGCACTGTGCAGATCCGGTGCACGGTGCGGGATCCCGGGACAGCGCGTGTAAGAATCCGAGGGGTGCGCCGGCTTGGCCCGAGGACAGGGGTCAGGGGTCAGAGGGCGCAGAGAAGGGGCTGAGACCAGGGCTGGGCGCTCCCGGCATCCGAGGCGGGGCCTGGGGAGGTGTCCCGCGTGCTTCCCTCCCTTGCACATCCACTTCTCGCTGCACCTTTCTCTTTTCCTTGACTTCCTGGGGCGACCCGGATCGCGGCGGGGAGCGCGGGGAACTGGAGCCCCCGCGCGACCCTTCTTCTTCTCCCTTCCCTCCCCATTCACCTCCCGGCTGCGATCTCTTGTGACAGGGCGGGAGACTCCTCTGGGTCAGCCTGACTCAGGGGGCAGACAGCGGGATGGCAGCTAGCTCTCTGACCCCGGGACCTTCCTCCTTTGGTGACCTTCCCCCCGGGGTGACCCTCTGGGTCTTCTCCGGAGTGAGAACCGAAGTCTACTGAAGGGCAGGACCCGAGGAACCCCGGGTTCTGCCTCCGAGTCTGCTGTGTGACCTTGGACAGTTAGTTTCCTTCTCTCTGGGCCTCATTTCTTTCTCTTTGAAAAGTCCTAGTCTCATTTGGGAGAAGAATGGCAACTTCAGGACTCTCCAAGACTAGACAGGGATATCCCTGTCTCAAAAGACAAAAACAAGAAAGTGATTGGTGGATTTCTCTCAAATGGCGTGCAGTTTCTAGGGATAGTTTAGTGGAAAGTGCCTCGGTCTGTGCCACCTGCTTTCCAGTCGGCCTGATGGAACTTGTAGTTGTTGACTCACGAGAGACAAGTTAGCCACGCTAACCAGCCTCATCTATGAAGTGGGATGCTTGCTAACCCAGGCTCTGCCGAGGGCAGAGCTGTTGAGTCTGAGCCAAAAGGCTGTTTCCTGTGGGTGTTTCCTCAGCTGTGTGCTCTGTAGATATTTAGTGGCCTCTTTGGACTCCCTCGAGATCATTCCCAAGTTGTGACGCCGGAAATATTTCTAGACAGTGGGGACAAAGTCACACCAGGCGAGAGCTGTTGAGGTAAGACAAGGCTGGAAGGAATGGAGTCATGCGTTCAGCAGTTAAAACGGAAAAACTAGCTAGGAGGATACTAGTGACAAAAATTAGAAACGGGTTATGAACTGGGAGGATTTTTTTTTTCTTTCCAAATAAAGAGAAAGGGCACTGCCAGAGCCTTCTTGTGGCTTCAAGGTAGTGTGTTCAGGTAATCCCTCTACCGTGGGGTATGTTAGACGAGTGAGTTTAGCCAGCCCAAGGCACTGGGAGAGGAGAAAGTTAAGCCAGAATACAAAACACAGCACAGTTCTTTAAACAGACAGCCAAACGATGGTGTCCTGTGGTAGATCTGCTTCTGTCTCCCCCCCCCCCTTGTTGAGATTTCAAAGCAAAATAAACCCCCAAATCTGCAGGAAAAGGAAAACAAAACAAAAACCCCACTCTCAGGAAGTTTGCTGGGCAGAGAGCTGCATACTTAGCTGGCTGCAGGGTAGTGTTTGTCTCCACTTCTGTCTCTGTTGAAAGAAACCTGCTGTCTGTGCCTGTTGATGATGCAGCTATCACCCCCACCAAAAAAAAAAAAAAAAAAAAAAGGAGGCATTGCTCAGTTGCTTTGGAAGCAGAACCCATCAGGTGCACAGGCCACAGCTGGAGGTAGCGACCTGCTGCTGCTTTCCAGGTTCAAAGGTCCCCAGGCAGATGTGCTGAGCTCTGCTTTTCTTTTTATCACAGTAAGCAGAAGTGGAATGTACAAACAGCCACTGTGGCACACCAGTCCTGAGTGTTTTAAACCTGGAGGGAAGGACGGGTCCCTCCGATTACAAGTTGTAAAAACGTGCATGCCCACTACTTCCTTATCAAGCATCCACATCGGTGAGGTCCGTACAAGAACAATGCCGTGTTGGCCACCAGCAAAGCCAGGATGATCTTGCTTGTGTTCCCAAGAGGGCACTTAACAAAGCTAAAGTGGAAATTGTTCACAAACATAAAAAGAGAGACCAGGGCAAGCTTGGAGAGCCGGGACAGACTCACTTTTTGTTACTGTTGTCTGAGGACCAGACCCGGGGACTTAGAAGGCACTGTAGGTGGTGTGAAGGCTTGGGATGCCAGCAAGGCAAAATTTGGCTTTCTGCCTGTGGACTCTCAAGCAAGTTACCTAACCTCTCTGCTCCTATCTGATGTGTAAGGCTATTAGTGAGTTTTTGGTCACCTAGTTGTAAAATTGCCAGTAGGGTCTCTGGCATAGTTTGAGTTTTCTTTGAAGATGAACTGTTAAACATTATAATCATTATAAATTGTTTTCCCTTCAAAATCTTTACAAAGCACAGAGATAAGGGAAAAGTAGTATTGCTCTTGCTAGCCCCTTTCTCTACTCTCCAGACTTGGTTCGCTCAGCTTGTCAGTGTTTGTTCTTATAGGAACCTTCCCTGTATTTTATTTTATATGTCTATTGTTATTATTTTACAATTTGAGGTGTGTGAGTGTTTTACCTGCATGTGTGTGTGTATATATATACACCACATGTGTGCCTGGTGATCAAGGAGGCCAGAAGAGGGTGTTGGATCCCCTGAAACTGGAGTTAGTGATGGTTGTGAGCCACCATGTAGATTCTGGGAACAAAAAAAAAAAAAAAAAAACAAAAAACAAAAAACGAGTCTTACTATTACTATATGGTCCAACCTGGCCTTGAACTCTTGTTATCCTCCTGCCTCAGCACATGTTGCAATTCCTAGCTCTCTCTCTCTTTTTTAATTAAATTGAAATACAGTGGCGGTGTGGGCTGTGGCTCAGTGGGTGGAGTGATACCTAACATGCACACGGCCCTGGGTTCAGCCCTCAGTTTCCTCTCAAGCATTTGTGGTACACATTTGTGAATCCCAGTGGAGGCAGGGGGACCAGAAGCTCAAAGTCATCCACCACTTTATATCAAGTTTGAAACCAACTTGGGCTACATGAGACTCATCAGAAAACAAACAGTTTTTATGCTGTAAGTTACTGCGACAAAAGATAAAATTCAGTGGTCTTTGGCCTGGCCTCTGGTTGTACTGCTCCCCGACTCTAGAATGCATTCATCGGTATCGGTTATGTTTTAATCATTACCTTTCTTTTTTTATCCTCCAAACCGTAGAAGATGCCTCTGATGGAGCAGGCTTTGAGAAGCATCTCTGGCACCGTGGCTTTGAACAGGAGCGCAACCCGGAGACCGTTTAAAGCCCTGGCCATTGCATCCTGAGGACCACAGGACAGGGACATGGCTGTGATCTTAGATGACGATGTGCCACTCATCCTGACCTTGGACGAGGGTGAAAGTGCTCCCCAGGCTCCTTCCAACAGCCTGGGCCATGAGGAGCTGCCCAGCAAAAGTAAGCTGATGGCTGGCTGGGTGGGCGGGGCTTATAGCATGTCTGGTCAGGGAGTGAGAGACAGGTGGGCTCCAGTCTCTAAGAGGAAGAAGAGCCCTGTCTCACCCATCTCAAGTGTGACACAGACTTTGCTCCTGGGAGACTGTGGGTGTGAACCCAGCCTTGCAATGTTTCTGGGGTGCAGGAGCCCTCACTCCTGACACACTTAGCTTTGTTCCTGCTGCCTGGGGACCTCAGGCAAGACTCTCTTCCCCACCTCGTTCCATGTCAATAAAAACGTCCCTATGGGTCCCCACCTGAAGCTGGGAGGGAAGCTGAGCTTATCTGCCCTCTTCCTGCCATTGATCTACTGTTTCAGAATGGGGTGGAGGGTGAGCCTTGTGGCGTATTGATCTAGGCTTTAGGGTTTCACATTGTCTTTCTGGGAAATAAACCTGGTACAAAGTAACCCCGAGAGAGGGGATGCGCCGTCTGTGTTGCTGACTTTTAAGTGTCTTTCTGGCAGAGGGAGAGGCCTTAAAACCCTTCCTGGTCCTCATCCTGAAACCATTGCTCCATTTGCTCAGAACAAGGGTTCAGGAGAGGCTTAAAATAACTTGCCTTTGCAGAGGGTCCTCAGACAGGGAGCAGGGCTTCAGGGCTCCCCGGGGAATGCAGACAGCCTGCCAGGGTGGAGGAGCAAGGGATACCAACCACACTTCCACCCATGGAAGACATCATGGGCCAGGCGGCACTAGCCTGGTACCCCATCTCCTTTGTTTAGAGAGAATACGGTTGGGCTTTGGGGATCTCGGGGCTCCCTGGGGAGGGGTGAAGGAGAGCAGTGCTCCAGGGTGAGGGTGCTAGGGGGTGCTGACACCCTACAGAGCACCTTTATGCCTCATGCTCATGCCCTCATGCTCACCTCCACTGTCCTGAGTGGCCGAGCGGCCTGATTCTCCCACTAAGGGCCATACAGGTACAAAACCCTGGCTCTGACTCCTTGTCTTAACCACCTCTCTCTTTGAGAGCTCCTGCAAGGAAGGCAGTATTTTTCCTATTTTACAAAGGAGGAAACAGGATCAGAGAGGTTGAATAAGTTTCCCAAAGCCACACAGCCAGCTAGTGAGTGAGGAAAGGTTTGAACTCCAGCCTGTCTGACTGAAGCTTCTTCCTTCTTCCTCTTTTTTTTTTTTTTTTTTAATCCCTTCTGCAGCTCCTCCTCCTCCTTTCACACCTCCACTCTTTACCAGCTATGAATGTAAGCTCTCAGGCAGACAGTGGAAGTCTTTAGGGTTGGCTAGCATTTTTATTTGGGTTCATTTGTTTGCTGTCTTGAGGATTCAACCCAGGGCCTGGCACATGCTAGGCTTGTCTTGTGACCACAAGACAGAGCTATTATTGCTACCCGTATTTTACAGAGGAGGAACCAGTCTCAGAGAGGTCAGCTAATTTGGCTAGGGTCACACAGCCAGTGGTTTTTCCCATACTGCTGTGGAGTTGCTCTGGGGGGGGGGGTAGAGAGAGAGAGAGAGAGAGAGAGAGAGAGAGAGAGAGAGAGAGAGAGAGGGAGGGAGGGAGGAAAATGAGTCAGCCTCAGGGGACATGCCCTCAGGAGGGCCCCTGTCACCTGCAAAAGGGAATGAACTAAATGGTGTAGTGGTGGCTGGCTTGTTAGGGTGTGGCTTGTGCCTGCTAAGAGGCAGGCTCACTTCTAAATGGGAACCGTCTTCATGCTCTTAGATCCCTCCAGAGGGCCCGAGCTGGGGGCAGGGTCTTGCTCTCCCACCCTGAAGCAAGCCTTGGGCCACTCTCAGGGCCTGAGGGAGAAATGGGCCCGTGAGACAGTGAGACTCACCATGCTGGGCCACCAGTGAGGCCACTGGATCTGGCAGAATTCTGTTGCTTGTGTTGGCTTAAGAACAGAGAGATCCATCACTATCGGGCACTCATGCCTCAGTTTCCCCTCTCTCACACTCTTACGGAGTGCTTCCTAAAGGCCCCGAGAAGCAGAGGCTGCATTCAGCACAGCTGGCTGAGGACAAGCGGGCCTCTCTGAGGAGAGACATTGGCTCAGGAGTTCTGTTGCTGTGAGAAAACACCACAGCCTGAAGCACATTGGGGAGGAAAGGGTTTGTTTCTTCCTAGACTTCCAGGTAACACTCCATCATCGAAGGAACTGGAGGGGTGCTGCTTAGCTGCTTATTGGCTTGCTCCCCATGGCTTGCTCAGCCTGTTTTGTTTTGTTTTCCAAGACAGGGTTTCTCTGTAGCTTCGGAACCTGTCCTGGAACTAGCGCTGTAGACCAGCCTTGAACTCACAGAGCTCCGCCTGCCTCTGCCTCCCAAGTGCTGGGATCAAAGGCATGCACCACCATTGCTCAGCCTGCTTTCTTATTAGAACCCAGCACCACCTGCCCAGGAGTGGCACCTCCTGCAGTGAGCTGGGCCCTCCCATGTCAATCATAAATCAAGAAAGTACACTGCAGGCTTGCCTACAGGCCGATCTGATAGGCAGCATTTTTCTCGAGGGAGGGAACCCTCTTCTAAAAAGAATTACATATCTTGTGTTGATATAAAACTAGCCAGCTCAGATGGGCTGTTAAAGGAAGCCCACAGACCTTTGCCCAGGCCTGGCCATGTCATGTTTAGATTTCCACATTGTCCTGAGGTCCCCTACTGTCTGAGCTGTCAACATGAACCACACCCGACCTGGCAATTTCCCCATCCTAAAGCTGTTTGGGAACTGTCCCATCCCTACAAGGTTTTGCTCGGTATCCCAGGACTGTGTCCCATGCCTTCTTTCCTGACTGACCGTTTCCTGGGCCAGCCCATGGTGTCACTCTGTGTTGTTTAGAGCTTGGGCTTTGGTCTGGCAGTCTGTCTGGAGGACATTCCTGGCCCTCCTGTTTTCACAAGGATTCCAGTTTAAGCTGAGAACTCCCTGCTCACACAGTCCTGTGAGATCTCCAGCTCCCTCAGTTCTGTGAGATCTGCTCACAGCAGTTCTGTGAGACCTTCTAAGTGTCCTTAGAGAGAGTTAATTACTTTCCTGCTGTGGGCAGGGAGGTAGCCAGCTTGTGGTAATTAGTTAGTATCTGGTCACCTGCTGGGCTCCAAGTTCCATTCATCTTAGCTTGGGACCTGGAGGTTCAGGGAGTTCTCAGGGCAATGGCAGAAATGAACCTACCTGGGCTTCTGGAACCTCGACACTTGCAGAAGTGGCTGACAAAGGGCCCTTGTCAGATGTGAATGGCATCCTGTCTGTCTGTGTTCTAGAACCAGGGGCAGAGTCTCATCTTCCTGTAAATAGGTCATGGTTCTAGAAGCCCCAGGCCCTGTCCACAGTTGCTGTGGACCCTGACATTCCCAGGGCAGGTGGGATGCAGACAGTAGGTCAGTGGAGTTGGCAGCCATGTACTTTGCAGATGGCTGTCTTGCTGCCTCCTCAAAGCTGTGGTCCATGCACAGTGCCCCATTTTACCTCTAAAGACGCCATCTTGAAGCAAACGCTGTCGCCTATCCTGAGGCTCCACGGTCAGCACTTCAACGTAGAGATTTGTTTTTATAACATGCTTGCTTCATGTGTGTGCATATGCATATGCCATGGCATACATGTTGAGGTCAGAGGACCAACCTGCAGTTCTCTCCACCATGTGCATCCTAGGTCATCAGACTTGGTGGCAAGCGCCTTTACCCACTGAACCATCTGCACAGCCCCAGGGGTTGGGAAGCGGGTTGAGACTGGGTCTCTCTGGTCTAGGGCAGCTAAGAGACAGCAAGCAGTATGTACACGTGCCAGGCGGTGGTGTGGGCTGCATGTATGTGGCAGTCTATACAGTGGGCGTACCTGGTACCTCCTGGCAATTCCCAGTAGGATTTTGCCTCTCACACGCCTTTAAGCCCATATGGGTTTTCTGGTGACACGAGGGTGGCTGTGCTCCATTCTCCTGGCTACTTTGGTGTGGCACTATTATGGTTTCCAGGTGACAAGCTGGTCAGGGATGGGCCTAAGGGGACAAAGCAGAGTCTTAATGCTCAGGCCTAGGACACAGTGCTGTGTCTACTGGGAAGGCCACTGTCCCTACAGGGACCAGTATGTGACACCCTGGCTCCTTTTCTAGAGACTTCATACAGGTGGCTCCTTTTCTAGAGACTTCATACAGCCTGAGCCAGCTGGCACCAGGCACCGTCTATGTGACCAGAGCTGCTGACCTCAGGCAGCTGTGGCCAAGAGGAGCTGGGAGGGGTCAGTAGGGCTTTTCTCAAGGGACGGTCAGCTCAACAGTCCCTCCATGGAGCAGTCCCATTCTGTAGTTCTTTGTTGGGCCAAACATTCTAGCATGCTTGTCTGAGAGGGAAGGACACCCAAGGGTCAGCCATGGTCTCGGTCACTTGTGTCTGTGTGGGTTCTAGAGTCAAGCCCCAGGCTGTAAATCCTAGCTGAGAACATACCTAGGTCCTTCAAGCTGCAGCACCCTCGCTGTGTATCAGTCAGTGTACCTACAGTCCCCCAGCGAGGTGGGTGGGACTTGGCGAAATGCTGTGGACCACCGTCCCTGCTTGCCCGGTTATGACATAGGTCATGAGATTGCAGACTGGGACCTCCCATGGAATGTCCGCAGTGAGCGAGCAGTCTTGATCTCAGGAAGAGCTGTGAGTCCATATTGCCTCACTCCCAGCCCAGCAGGTGGCTACCACCACACAGGGACACGGGGCAGTGTAGCAGTCAGAAACCAAGAACAATTAAGTTTCCACAACCTCCCGCTTGGCCCGGCCACCTGGCCCTGCCAGAGTCACTCCTCTGATTTTTATAGGGCAGAGTGCCGGATGTCACCAGATTGTTGGTGGTGCCAATTAAAATGAGCAAGCACCCAGCACGCTGAGACGGAGTCTCATAATGGAGGCTGGAAGCCGTAAGCGTCCTGGCCCTTTGCATCTTCGTACGGGGACCCTGTCTGTTGCCACAGGCCCCCCTGCCACGAAATGCCATCTCTTCCTCTGCATGCAGAAAGCCACCGC